TTTTTTTGCTTATAATTTTTCAAATACCCCTTTAATTTCCTTAGTATTTTCTATTTTTGTGAAATATATCAGTAATTCTGATTTCAAAAAAATGTAGTGCCTCAAGGGATAACAAAACATAAAATACAGTAACATTTTTTTATGAAATCTGTAGCACAAAATATTTGAAATCATATATTCTGAAAAGTGTTTAATAATTTTAATTACCTTTTTAGTTTTTTCAAAACTTACTGTTTTTGTGAAAACAGCATCACAGTTTTTGTTGCTATCAGTCTCACCTCTTCAATTCACATTGCTATCCCACAAACACAGCATCATTCTCAAGTCAAATCTAATAAACAAATAATCAGCATTGATGATCTTTTCCAAGCTCTCTTCTACATCTTGAGATCAGTACAATCTTTTTGAAAAGTAATTATTGACATATTTATAAGTAATTAATTTTTTTCAGTTTTCATTATACTGGACTTGATAATGGGACTTTTTCCATTTCTTATAAAGCTTCAGCTTACAATGAAGTATTTCAAAACTATAATTAAATGATTGTTTATTCAATGAATCAATAAAATATAAGAATTATATGGAAATTAAAAAAAAATAAAACATGCCATGTTAGCTATGTACACTTAGTTATTTCAAATTTGGGGTGTTTTAGAGAATAACAAAGCAAAATATGAAAGAAAAGCAATGTTTTTTGTGAAACCAATAACATAATAGGCTCTGGAATACAGCTGTGTAGATTTTAGATATTTCTCCCTTGGCTTTTTGACTCATTTTTTCAAAAATACTGGGCTTGGATTGTGTACTGCTTTAAGCTCCGGACACCTCAATGAAAATATGAAAAAGAAAATATTCTTTTGAAGATTTCATTACGATTGAAAACAACAACATCTGACTCACAAACAAATAACATTTTTATGGTTCCAGTATCTCATGCTATGACTCAGCTGTTCGTATTCCTTATTGGAGTGCCTGAACTATGATTGGCCCTGCTTCTGATTCAGCAGCTGACTAATTCACATTCTGGCAGGGAATTGTTTATGGTTTTAATACTTGGACCCCTGACACCCAAATGGGAATCCTGTATGGGATTCCTGACTTTGACATCAGCCTGGTCAAACTTTCAATGTCAAATATAAATAGAAGATTTCGCTCTTTGCCTTACTCTCTCTCACTCTCACACACATACCCTCATTCTTGCGCTTACTCTTTCATTCCCAAACAATAGCATGTATAAAAGTCTTAGTCACTAGCAGTATTATTTCTACTGTTTGTTGGAAACTTTGGATATCCTGAAAGGTTAATATCTTTGTTGAATTTCATAATTCAGTTGATGTGAAAGAATACAAATACACATGTGTAGTTAATCCAAGATAACCTGCTGTATGTCAGATAAAGAAGTTCGAGGGCTGATTTCTCAGTGCAATTATGCACCTTTTTAAAAAGTTTGATTTGTATTATTATTATTCTCCTTGGGAAAATAAGCTGCATGTCCCAAGATCCCATATGTTCATGACCTGGCTGTTCCATTTCCCATCCAGATCCCTGTTTGTGGCCTGTGAATACAGCAAGAGGTGGTCCAAAGTCTTGGACCCCTGCAACTACGTGCTAGTGTCAGAAGAAACTCCAGGCTCTTGGCTTCAGATAGGCTCAGCTCTGGCCACTGTGGCCTTTTGGGGAGTGAACCAGCAGATAACTATTGTTTCTCTCTCTCCTCTCTTCATATCAGCCTTTACAACTTGAGAGAGAGGAAGAGAGAGAAAGAGAAAAAGAGAAATCAAAGGAAATAAAGAAAAAGAAAAAAGAAAACATTTAAAAATGAAATAAAATAGCAAAGAAGAATCTTAGATACTTTGGAATAAACCTAACCAAAGACAGGGGAGACCTCTATGAAGGTGACAAAATATTTTAAATTGGAAATAGAAGATGTCATAAAATGATGCAGAAAGTCACCATGTTCCTGTATCAGCAGGATCAACTTTATCATAATGTCCACATTCCCACTTGTAATATACAGATTAACCATGCTCTCTATCAAAATCACAACAACATCCTTCTCAGAAGTAGAAAAAAGGATACAAAAAAACAGTGTGGAAACACAAGAGACCACGAATAGCCAAAAGTATCCTGACGAATAAAAATAAAGCTGAGGAATCCCAATTCAAGACTTAAGATACAATGCAGGGCAGTGATAACCACAGCAACCTGGAACTGGTGCAGAGACAGAGAAGATCAGTGGTGCAGAATGAGAATCCCAGAAGTGAGCTCACACATGTGTAACCACTAATATTCAGACAAGAGAAATGAAAATCGTTCAGGGAACAAAGGTTTCCTCAACAAATGCTATTGGGACAATTGGATATTAGCCTGAGGATTTAACAAAACAAGGTCCTCACATGACATCTAATGTAAAAAGCAATCATAAATTGATCCAGGACTTATATTTGCACCCAGAAATTATCCAATTATCAGAGGAAAACACACAGAACATTCTGCAAGATACCGGCATTGGTAAGATTTTATTAAAAAGTCACCAAAGCACAGGCAGTCAAAGCTAAAATAAACAAATGTGATTATGTCGTTTGAGAAGCTTCTGTACAGTAAAAGAAAGAACCAGCAAGGTGAAAAAGCAACCAATAAATTGGGCAAGGATCTTTTCACACTATAGAACAGACAGAGGAATCATCGGATTTACAAAGGCCTTTGGAAACCCAATGACACCAAACAAATAATTCAGAGAAGAAATGAGTAAAGGAAATGAACAGAACTTTTCAAAAGATAAATTCAAGTAATTACTATGCATATGGAAAAAAAAATAAAGAACTCAGTCTTCTTAGCCATTACAAAAACAAAAAGAAAAAGAATATTGAGGTTCCACTTAACTGCAGTGAGATTAGCCTAAAATAAAAAAATCACACGTGTTTTCATAAATGTGGGTTGAAAGGTATCCAACTTCATTGTTGGTGGGAGTATTGACTAGTGTAGCCACTATGGAAGTCAGGAGGGTTCTAAGACATCTAAAAATTGATCAAACTCATGATGCAGCTATCCCACTGCTAGGAATATAGTCAAAGGAAGTGAATTTGCACACGAAAAAGGGACCTGTAATTGTACATTCACAGTGGCAAAACACACACATAAAGACATGGAAATAACCCAGATGCCCATTGAAAGATGAATGGACAAAAAACTGTGGTATATCTACTTCATGAAACACTACTCAGACATAAAAAAAAAAAAAGAAAGAAACTGTAATTCTATTATTTGCAATAAAATGGTCCCAACTTGAAAACCTTATGGTCAGTGAAATAGACCAACCCCCCAAAACACAAATATGGTCTTTCCGTTAAAGGGCGACTTTCATGCAGACCCTAAGATCAAGAGATACAAAAATAACTGTGTAAGTGTATTTGCCTAAAGGAACCATATAATGTAGATGAGTATACGAGTCACTGCTGATTCATTGCAGTAAGCAGCTCTCCTTCTGAATAAAGGGAGGACTCATAATGAAATTGTTAAATATATCTTGGCAATAGGTCGATGTACTTTCTATCATTATGTAAGCCTACAATATCCACATGTACTTAAATAGATGGACTTGTGACTATTGTAAATGACTATATTACTGTAGTAACGCGCGGGGTATAAAAAGAGTAAGTAGAAGGGAAAATACCTGCTCCTATGGAATCGTTAATAGAAACTGTCAAAATCCTCAAATATGTAAGAAAATAGAAAATAAATTATCAAAAGAACATGCAGGAAGATGAATTAATAAAACCAAATGTATGATTTGATATTGAAAATGTCCCTATCCTTTCATTTTTTTAAATAGATAACAAATATTTCATGATTATTGATTATTACATTTATTACATGTTAGGTATATTGATAATTTCCTGAAAGATTTTACAACAATATATGACATCTGAAAATTAGCAGCAAATAAATCATTATCCTGTACTTGTTTTGTTTTGCTTTCCCCACTATCATTTAGCAAATGAAGGTCAGGAAGTAAAACAGGCATGTTTGTTCTAACTCCTCCCACAGCACATTTGTTGTGTTTTTCCTTGTAACAGGTTTACTTGTGAAAATAATGTTAAAGCTGAAATTTCAGATTTTAGACTATTGTTTCAGAGAGTTATTAATTAGCAACAGCAAATAAAACAGTCTCACAAATGAATTAACATGCTGTATCTGTTGCTTTTGAATATGAAAGGCAAACTTGTTTAAAAAATGTCAAATATTTCCCATTATTATGATAAATATGCAGGATAGGAGGATGACAAGCATCATCAATCAAGTTATGATCTAAAATAAGTACTGTGGACAACCCATGTGTAAGCAAGCAGGGCAGGCAATGCATGTGAGCTAGGAACTTCGATCCTTCTGATAGGAAAATAGTGATTTTTCGGCTCACTAACAGTGCTATGGTTAAGTATAAGTAAGGCCATCAATTTAGTAAAGATTATTGATGGCACACTACTTTGAATTGAAATTCACAACTTTTATGCTCATATCAAATGATCAAGAAAATATCAGTTGACAGTATCTATCCACTTGTCTTATTTATTGCAAAATAAAAGCACTAAATTCAAAACTTGTTTTGATGCTTCAGTTTTTTCCACATACTTAATACCCTTCTACGCAAGAAAATTGACTGCGATTATGACTTTTTACAAAAAATTCCTTATCATTTATTCACTTTTAATATATTGCAATTTAATTCAGGTAGCATTTCTTTTTGGATACAGAATTTTGAACACCAAGCGCCATTGATAATTTTAATTTGAGTTGTGTCATTAAGAATAAAGGTATGTGTCAGGGCAATTTCTTGTCATTTTGAGTTTTACATATCTTCTTCTGTCAGAAATAAAGTTACTTATCTTTCCTTCTTCCTCCCTTCTTTCCTTCTCCCTCCCTTCTTTCCTCCTGTACTTCCTTCATTCCTTCCTCCCTCTCTTCCTAACTTCAATTCTTCTGGATTTTCCACTTGGGTGCAGGGTCCCAAAGACTCTGGGCCATCCTCAACTGCTTTCCCAGGCCACAAGCAGGGAGCTGGATGGGACATGGGATTGGTGGAATTAGAACCGGCACCCATATGAGGGCCAGACAAATTCAAGGCCAGGGCTTTAGCAGCTAGGCTACTGCACCAGGCCCTAATTCATTTCTTCATCTATTCAATACATGTGTGTATGTATACACAAATAGGCACTTACTGTGATTTTTAGTTTTAATGCAGAAGGTTAGTTGAAAGGACTTGTTGTTATTGAGTGAAAGATGGTTTAATACCACATCAAATACTCTACTGTGGCGTACTATCAGAGAAGCATGTATGGTTTGTCAGATTTGCTGAACTATACTACAGAAAACGATATATATGCTAATTTCTCTCTTCTTAAACAAACTTAAATTGTGTGGTAGAAAATAAGAAACAAATTTCATTTATGAAATGGCCATCGTAGATTAGATCCCTAAGCACTCCCACTTACTTTCAAACCTTATCACTTAGTGTCATTTTCAAAAGTCTAATATACTTTCTTTTTTGTGTTTGTAAAGATTTATTTTATTTTTATTGGAAAGCCGGATATACAGAGAGGAGAGACAGAGAGGAAGATCTTCCATCCAATGATTCACTCCCCAAGTGAGCACAACAGCCAATGCTATGCCGATCCGAAGCCAGGAGCCTCTTCCTGGTCTCCCACGCGGGTGCAGGGTCCCAAAGCTTTGGGCCGTCCTCGACTGCTTTCCCGGGCCACAGGCAGGGAGCTGGAAGGGAAGCGGGGCTGCCTGGATAGAACCAGCGCCCATATGGGATCCCGGGTGTGCAAGGCGAGGACCTTAACCACTGTGCCACCGCGCAGGGCCCAAAAGTCTAATTTTCAAAAGCTTGCGATGTGAAAGCTAGGGGTGGGGAAAGTGTTGTGATGCAGTGCAAAACATGTATGATTATTAAAGTGCTCAATAGAGTCCTGGGTACCCCACTTAGAATGCAAAAGTCTTGCTTTGCACCTTTATATGTGGCAAGGATTGAGTGTCGGGCCCCTGGCCCATCATGGCTCAGATTCACTCTGGCTGTGAATTGTAAATAAACAAAAACAAAAGCAGCCAAGCTTTTGGGCTCAACTTGGTGTTTAATTCACTCTCTGTTCCCCATTCGGTAAGATCCTTTTGACACTTCTGGGATCATGTAGCCAAGAAGGTACATAGGTAACAAAATGCGGCTGTAGTTCTTCTGTAGCCAAAGATGTCCAGTTACTTCATTGTATATTTACTTATTTCAGGTTTGGGTGACCTACAAGGATTTTGTCAACGTTTTACATGTATTTATCAGATTTGAGTGATAACTCTGCCATTCTAGCTGTTTTAAATTCCCCTTGTTAGATGCTAATTCTGGATGCATCTCCTAATGCAAATGGGGTAAGTTTGATTTTTCAACATGGCTTCATGACTATGTTTTGTTTTTTTTTTTTCAAGAAAATCTTGGTGCGTGTTTGGCCTACCACGCAATCCTTTCTCCCACTTGAAAAGCAGCTGGGTTCTAAGAAATCTTCCTCATTCCAGCATCAAAAGCTTATTGCATTGCCTTGGAAATTTTTACTATAAAATTGAACTATTTTTTCTTTTATGTGCCTGTAAGCTCCAAGATAGCAATAGTGATCTCTCAATGCTTTGGAAGATCCTTTACTCAGGAAGCATCTAAACCATCAAATTAATCCTCCACACATTAAAACACACCAGGAATTGAGAAGCCAGTCTTAACCACCTGCAAATATTCTCAAGCAATACATGCTTTCTTCAGAGCCAAAGATGATCAAACAGATGTCCTCCTTGTATTACCTTATTAGTGACAATTATTATGTTACAAAGAAAATATAACAAATATGAATACAAAATATAATACAAATCACAGGTATGATTCAAAATAAAATATTAGAGAAAATGTTCGGTACAGTGGTTAAGATGCTGTACTAGTGGCCTTGCAAACTAGCCTTAGTGGCTTGCCTGGCTTCTACCAGGATCCCATATGGGCACCACTTCTCATCCAGATTCCTATTTGTGGCCTGGGAAAGTTGTAAAGGATGGCCCAAAGCTTGGGACCCTGCACTGGGAGAACCAGAAGAATTTCATGGCTCTTGGCTTCAGATTGTCTCAGCTCTGTCCACTGTGGCCACTTGGAGAATGAACCTGCAGTCAGAAGAACTTTCTCTTTGTCTCCCTGTATTTCTGTATATTTCTCTTTCTGATAGAAACAAATACATGCTTTAAAAAAAAAAAAAAGATACTGCAGTATTACTCAGCCATTACAAACAATGAAAACCTGGGTCCAGCACAGTAGCCCAGCAGAAGTCCTTGCGTTGAAAATTCCAAGATCCCACATGGGTACCAGTTCTAATCCCAGCAAACCCGCTTCCCATCCAGCTCACTGCTTGTGGTCTGGGAAAGCAGTTGAGGATGGCCCATAGCCTTGGCACCTATACCTGCATTGAAGACCTGGAAGAAGTTCCCTGCTCCTGGCTTCGGATTGGCTCAGCTCCAGCCCTTGCGTTCACTTGGGGAGTGAATCATTGGATGGAAGATCTTCTTCTCTGGCTCTCCTCCTCTCTTTACATCTGATTTTGGAAATTAAATAAATCTTGAAAAAAGAAGGAAATCCTGACATTTGTGGAAAAATGATGCATTACACAAGTGACATAAGCCAGATTCAGAAACATTACCATCACATGATTTCTCTTACTCGTGGTGCTAATATAGAGCATAACATTTGTGTGGCTATTATATGATATATAGTTATGAATTGCTTCCAACAATTGTATTAGCTGATTGACAATATATTTTTTCTTTGTTCAACTTATCAACAATCATGGGTCCTTCATCTAGTGAGTACAGTGTCTTTGTTTTCAAGAAAAAATAATGTATATGTGTACATAGATAATGTATGAATTCACAATAAATGTAATAGAATGATAAAAATCAATCAAATATAAAACTAAAGTTATTGCTTAACATGTATATCCATATATATTATTTAGACATAAAAATATTTATAAACATGTATGGATATGCATATATGTTGAACAATAATTTAGTACACATACATATTCACAAATGCAAACGCACACACATACTCACTTTGATGTGACTGGATTCAAGGTCCAAGGCTTCTTCTAAAACCAGCTTCCTATTCATGCTCTCCCTGGCAGGAGAAGGCTCTGACTCAGGTAGCTGGGTCTCTGCCACACAGAATATAATCTCGAATGAGTTCTCTGTTACTGTCTTTGATCTGACGCCCGGTGACACCTAATGAAGTCATTTTGGAGAATCAGCTAGCACATAGATGATCTATTTCTACATATAAAGCAGAGTAAATAATTATAAGTAAGTACATTTTCGAAATGAAGGAATATTGCAGTGTTAGTCATCCTTATTTTTTCCACTTCTAATGAAATAAGGCCAGTATGTTTTCATTGGAGTAATAGCTTGTTATCTCCATCTCCATTTTGGGTCTACATTGAAATATTAGATATTAGAAAGATAAAGAAATGCAACACAGAGAATTGTGATTGGCCATCTTGATTTCTGGAAATTACCATTTTTTTTTTATGTGGTATGTGTGTGAGACTTACGTTTTAGTTCAACCAAGTTAAAATTTATGACTTGTTGTAAATTTCCCTTTTATGTTTACATGAGATATTGTAGGTGTAAGTTTTTAGAGTCTAAGCTCTTAATGTTTTAGTTATGACTGCTAAGAATATTTTAATTCATGCAACACTATTGAGTTGACTGATCTTGAACAGACTATTCGCCTTTTCTGTAATCCTGCATAAAAAAAGACGTTTGATTCTAATCTGCACAAGCTTTGTAAAATAATCAATAAGAGCAAGAAGTTTTATAGCTTGAGCTTAAATCCTTTATTTATAATTGAATTAGTTTACCCTATTTTGGCCTAGACACGCTTTTGTAATTTCCTGTTAAGCTTTCAAAAGTGTCTGGCATTATGAAACCAGAAAGAAAATAGATAAAATACACTTAACTTTTATATTTTAAAGACTGATTGAGTTATTGTGCAATACATTGTTGACAAAATAAATTATTAACAAGGAAAAATTCTGGTTTAAAATGGCTGGTTTCTGAGCTTTCGTTCAAATTTAAATTCAGACAAAAATAAAGTACCCTTGTTGCTTAAAATCACCTCATTCAAATCTTTGTGATTAGAAAGAAAGATATTTGCAAATCAAACAAATGAACGTGCAACTGGTTTAGCTGAATACTCTCTCAAAATTTTCTCACTATTTTGACAAGATAATATTCTATTCAAATGCAGCAATATAATTTTGCTTTTTATTCTGCTCTTTATTTGATAAAGTTTTCACTGTTATATGGTACCCTGGCCTTCAAAATTTTATGTAAAATATAGTCAGCCTGGAGAAATTTGTGTGTGTTCTATTTGTGTCCAACAGCAAATTTGATGGCATTTTGGAGCTAAACTGGATATTGTCATTTTCAGAAATTCCTCTGATTCTCACATTCCCTATTTATCCTTATAATCAGAGCACTGAGATGCACAAATTTAAATATTTTATATTCTATTTAAATAGATACCTAAATTATTACAAAAGTCTTTATTTTTTGCCAGCAAATTCATTTTATTTTTTTAATTTTTTATGTTTTTCTGTGTTGACATTATTCTTCTTTTTAACTTTTTTTCACATAGCATTATTTTGTTAAATTATCATTATCATGTTAGATACAGTTCCACAAGCCCTGGGATTTCCCTACCCATTACCAAATTCCCAGGTGCCTCTCTGCCATTGGTCTGTTCTCTTCTATTTCCTGGAATGTGCCCTCTTTGCTTCACTCCAGCTAATGTTTCTTCATTTGTTTAAGCGTGTCCTCACCATAATCTGCCATCTGATTCTCCCAAATGTCTTTATTTTTAACGTTTAAGCCGCTGCTTTTGATATTGGCAACACATAGTGCTGGTTCTAGATTTGTCTCCAACTCTCTGCTAAT